ATATATATCATAAATTGAGAATATGCTGTTGGGAAAATATCAACAAGTTTGTATCATAATTTGGATTAAAATATTTTGAGCTAATAACAAAGATTCAAACACAGAATTGGAGAAAAAAGACGCAGATTTTTATTTTTGAAAGTGAATTACGCGAATCGCCTTGGATCGCTTTGTTAATATAAAGTAAGAGAACGGCAAACAGTGAACAGCTTGTGCAGCTAAAAAAATCGCACTTTATGCCGCTTTCTTTAACCATTTTCTAACAATAAGAGGGAACAAAGAAGGCCGTCGCGAACCGCGAGAATCCTCCGCGAGAATCCAATCGAGGACCGCCTCCTTACGCCCCTGTTTCTACCGCCCCACCCGATTCGTATCGAAGCACGCGCACGAGTTTCATCCAACTTCCAACACAATGGCAAGTAGCGTGTGTCGTCATACCGCCCACTTGGCTGTGCCGCTCGTTTGCGCTCTTACGCGATATCCGTGATAACGGGGAAGGCCGACTCGCGATGCAGCCTCCACCCACTTTGAACACGGGACTCCACCTAACTTGGAAAATAAACACGTGTTTCCTCTCGCGCAAGTGTACATACATACTCACACTGTTAATGTTACGCCAACGCCAACGCCAACACCACCGCCAACGCCAAATGCCAACGCCACTACGTTGCGTTGTCGCTACTAGTCCGATTCGTACCGTTACAAGTAGTTATGCGAAAACATGTGCGTCTCTTTCTCAATCAAGAAAGCACGCTGATCACGAAGAACCGACTTGACACGATTCGATAAAAACGGAACTGTACTCGTTATCGTGCGTTTTGCCGTTTGCATAATGTACAAGCAAGTAGTGAAGCATTATTCACGAGAGCTCTCGTACATACCGCGCACAAAGTCACATATATAAAGAAAGAACTAAAAGAAAAAAAGAATCACATATACACACACGTACGCACGTGCCACGCACGCGAGCGCGTCACTGTTGCCGTAGTATTGCGCCCGCGCACTATACTACAACGACCATTAGTAGTGGCTGCATTATTTTGCGTTGATCGATACACGATCGAGCAAGATGTGTACGATATATTAGCTTAAAATTGCCGTTTACATCACGGAACAATTCGCACCAAGTTTTGACGCTATCGCTCTCCGCGCGTAGATGGATAGAAATTGTGTGACGCGCACAGTATCGCTGGCTGAGGGGAGTCGATGAAAAGCGATGCGGCTGCGGCAATTCGTGCGACTTGTCAAACTATCGTGCAATCTACCGACACGTGCATCATATATTCTACATCCACCACACTCTCCGTTTAGTCATTTATTCACGTTCGCGGAAACGTTAAAACGAATACTAACAAATACCGTCGTAATGGGACTCGTCGAAACTACGACGGACGCACGTATGTACATACTCGTGGGGCCAATGGGCGGTGCGCGAGATGGCAACGTCGCCGTACGTTCGTCATGACGGCACGGCCTCGCCGATTGGTGGTTGGCCGTGCTGGTTCGTGCGGCTGCTCGCCAACCGAGCTGGCTAAAGCTGGTTGCAGTTGGCTGGGGCGTCATTCGACAGGGGCGTACGCGGTGTCACTTCGGACGCCCACCCCATTACAAAGGGCTAAACCACGCGCACCTCCCTCTACTTTCGTTCCTCTAGTCTTTCGCTTCCCCCCACCTTTCATTTCATACGTTGTGTCCACCGTGGTTTACCATAATATATCGGTATTTTACTGAGTCGAATTCATTACGTTTGTTCGCACAAACAGTTTCGTGTTTAATTTGCGAAATATTGATAAGAAATAGATTTTAAATAAAGTTTCACAGCATTTCCAAATACATGCATGACAAAGACAAATCGTTTCAAACCGTCAAACTTCTCCTTTCTTCCTTTTTCTCTCCCTCCTCCCACAAAAATTGTAATTAATTTTTTTTCTGAATTTCATTTATTTCACGGTTCTCGATTCTAAGCGATAAAAAAAAGTGTTCAATGCGAGAGGGAAAGAGATAAATCGCAAATTGTTCTAGATGCATAAATATATACATATGATACAAATATCAACCATTTGTAATATAAAAATTGTAGCATATTACTATTAATTTCTAAATTTAATAATGTAACACAGTACTCCAAATTCTTTGCTCGACATCAACTTTATTGATGTGACAATTATGAAATAATTCATGACGAGACAACATGCTTATCAATCGCATCAACGATAATAAATTAAGTAATCTTGCAATATACAATATCCATAATTTATACAATCTTAATATATGTAACTGACAAGATAGAGATACACAGTAATGTAAATAATAGTGTAAACTATTATTTAAGTTTAATAATATAAATAATAGTGTAAGCTATTATTTAAGTTTAATAATGTAAATAATAGTGTAATTATTTATAAGTTTAGTTTCAAAAATTGAATGACAAGATTTCTTTAACATACTAGAAACATTTTTTACAATGCGTTATATTCACAATTCTTAATTCAGATAAATATCGGCGAAAGGGAGCAATGATTTTGAATTAAATAATACATAACGTGTACAATTGTAAATACTATAAATATTATATATAAATATTGTACAACAATTCAGCATGGTAAAGTTCCTATGTTACATAGAGTACACTCTCGTTACAAGAATAGAATACAATTATACTTTCTATAATGCATCAGTACATGCATATATGTATATATATAATACAAATAGAATATGAATATTTTGTAATTTGTACATAATACGTAATGCAGTAAAACATGCACGCCGCATTACAAAGAAAGTCTTAGACAGATTTAAAATTTTTCCTTTAAAATATGTGTACACACACACAATTTTAATTACTGGTGTGCATGAATACATACATGTAATTTTAATTTTGTTTATTGATAAAAATCTACATGTGGAGGATGCATGTAAAGAGAAGATACGATAAAGTTCTAGTCAGAGTGTTGTGAATTATTTAATATCAAATTGCTTGTGTAGTTTAAACTTATTTGTATAGTTTTCTAATTATTATATTCATGACTTTTATTTTTTGTAAGAGATTATTTGATTGTTGATTTTGGTGCACATACACAGATAAACGTATGTGCGCTTGATTCGATGTACTTGTACTCTATAATAAATACATATGATGAAACGTCAAATCAAACACGGATGTAAAACAAACATATTTTTCAAAACTTTGCAGCCTATAAGGAGATGGGTTTCTCTTCACAGTCCTCCACCCGATCTCTCGACACTTATTTGTTTCTTGAGCATTTCTTTTTCGTGCTGCGCTTCCTCCATTTCAGCCATCCGTGCGAAACGTGAATATGCCACATGACCAGACTTTATAGCTGACATCATCTATATATAAAAGTAATACACATACATGTAGCGAGTGGTTTATATAAGTATATGCATATTAACAAAAAGATATTGAAGATGATATAATTTCCGATACTCATATATTATAAAACTTAAAACGGCATGCGATATAAATAAAAAAGAAATAAAAAAATAAAAAAGAACATGAAAGGATGAAAGAAGGATAATAAGTAATTGCTAATTTCTCTATCAGTTTAAAAGATTGTTATTAGTTTAGTGTCACACATAACCATGCGAACGAGAAAATAAAAATATTGCTTTAAGAAAAATGTGAGCAATATACGTATAGCAAAAAGAAATGTAACAAAAAGACTGTGACTGTGTGCACAATGCGCAATGTCACAGACCTGAAGATATTCATCCAATTCAACTTGACCATTCATATTGGTGTCGATTTCGCGTAGAATTTCGTGAAGTTCTTCACCCGGTACTTCCTTATCTCCAAAGAGCTGCGAAGAGCAGAAAAAAATATATGTCAAGTATATGCTTGACGATTTACCTGCAAGTAGTCTTGTAATTCCATTTGACCGTTGTAAGTAAGATCAATTTCATTCAACAAGCTGTGCATCTCGTCCTGGTTCATTCTTATACCTAATACCTGCACATCGGCGATTAATGCATATCGATGACAATTAAAGAGGAGAGAAGCGAATAGAAAGTGTCATGGAACATTGACATTCGTATGCAAACCTTTAATCCTCGTCGAATATCATTAATAGACACATATCCCTTTTTGTCCTTGTCTATAATTCCAAAGCGCTTGATGTAGAGCTGGATCTCGTCTTTGGTGAGATTGATGGGAATCTTGTCACGAGAAGCACGGTTCACCATTTGACCCATTTCCTGTGCGAGAAATTCGCTGGCCTCACGATGTTGCTTCTTCTTCTCCTCCGTCGACCAATGCAACTCCTCGGCCATGATATCTATGATGACTGGCAATGCCTCTTGAGCTGCTTGCACATTGAGAAAAGCGAGTCTTAACCGACGCGCGATCATATCGATCGCAGTTCTAGCGTATTCTCGTACACCGTAACGTATCTGAAATGTATAATATATATTTCGGATATATCGAATATTGGCCTAGTTTACACCGATATTCTTTAACACGTACTAAGTACTACACTGGCCAATCATAGCCTTTCCTTTAAAGAATAGAATGGCTATAATTGGCCAGTGTAGTACTTAATATGTATTAAAGTATATCGGTTTAAACTTGGTCATTGGGATGTAAAGATGTTGACTGGTCGGTCGATATTTCAAACACGTGAGAAGCACTCACTTCAGCATCGATGTATGGGAATTCCGGATGAATCTTTTTTCCAATAATCGGCCACCGTTTCCCTGTCAGAGAAGCCATTTTAGCTACGGCGAACGCACGATCTCCGTAGCTCTTAGACAAGTGTTGCGCGACTTCGCATTCTAAACCAAAGTCCTGCACCAATCTAATGTACATTGTAGGACTCCAACCCTGAGCACCTTCCAGAAGGAAGCCATCGGTTTGGCAAGGTCTTTCTGGTTGTAAGTCGCAAGCTTTAAACAAATATCAATGAATACCTTTTACAGATGCATTAAAAAAAAAAAAAAAAACAAAAATTTTTTTGCTGCCATTGATTGATTCGCTGACTGGTCGGTCGATATTTCAAACACGTGAGAAGCACTCACTTCAGCATCGATGTATGGGAATTCCGGATGAATCTTTTTTCCAATAATCGGCCACCGTTTCCCTGTCAGAGAAGCCATTTTAGCTACGGCGAACGCACGATCTCCGTAGCTCTTAGACAAGTGTTGCGCGACTTCGCATTCTAAACCAAAGTCCTGCACCAATCTAATGTACATTGTAGGACTCCAACCCTGAGCACCTTCCAGAAGGAAGCCATCGGTTTGGCAAGGTCTTTCTGGTTGTAAGTCGCAAGCTTTAAACAAATATCAATGAATACCTTTTACAGATGCATTAAAAAAAAAAAAAAACTCAAAGATTTTTGCTGCCATTGATTGATTCGCTTAATGTACCTTTTATGGTCGCGTCAATAGCTTCTTGAGCCATCGCTCGGTAAGTCGTCCATTTGCCGCCTGCTATCGTGATGAGATTCGTAGGACTAACGTGCACGATATGATTTCTGGCAAGCGATTGCGTGTTTGGTTTGTTCGGATCGGAAACGAGCGGTCTGATACCGCTCCAGGCGGAGAGAACGTCCCCGCGGCGTACCTCGACGTCAGGATTTAAATAGTTTTTTACTTCCTGTAGGATGAACATGATTTCGTCTTCTGTGGGCCGAGGATTATGCGTTACCTCGCATGGTAGATCGGTCGTTCCCGCAATAGTTTGCTTTTGCCATGGCAAAAAGAAGATAACACGGCCGTCGCTCGTCGCTGGATCGAGTAGACCCATCTGGTCGGGACTAGAGCAATATCATAAAGAAAAAAATCACTACATCGAGAGAAAAATTGCAACGAATTGAGTAATGCATTATTACACATATATTAATATGTTAGCTCTTTTATATTACCTGTAATATCCTGGCAGCACTATGTGAACTCCAGAAGACGGAGAGCAGATAGACTGAACGTTCTGATCGTCCATCTTTCTGATATGATCGGTAAAGGGGCCAGTCGCGTTGATTATCGCCTTAGCCTTTACGTCCCATTCCTCTCCCGTAAGTTCATCCTTGAGGTGAGCACCCACGAGGACACGTTTGCCATCCTTTTGTTCAGATGGAAAAACTTTTTTAGAAAATATTCTCATTTTACAACTATTACATACATACTAATATATACCTTGTCGAGACCTTTCAGCAGATTAACCACTTTAACGTGATTTACAACTGTCGCCCCATGTCTTGAAGCTGTCAGAGCGATTGCCAAATTCATTCTAGCATCGTCTTGCTGGCCTGTATTATATGCCAAATGACACATTTAAGAGTAGGATAGATATATATACGCGCTATCTCTATGTAAAAATTGTAAGAGGGAGATTTTGCGTCCGAGGACGAATACCATCGTAGTAGACAATAGCTCCCGTCAGTTTGTCGCCTTTCAGCATCGGAAAAAGTTCTAAAGCGTTTGATTTACTCAGATAGTACGACGACTTCACTGTTTTGCTACCTGCTACCAGATCGTACATCTTAATGCCGAACCAATAATAAGGAATCTGCCACCATCTGACAAAAGTAATGGACATATGTGCGTGAAGAAGAAGTCAAGCAGCGTTAAAAGACTATGCTTGTAGTGTATATAAACATACGTATAAACTGGCAGCATAATGGGTAATGGGTGCGCCAAATGCGGTGCGCTCTGCAGCATCGACGCACGTTCGTGAAGTGCTTCTTTTACCATTCTGTATTGCTCGATGTCCAATTGCATGATGGCTTTTTGCAAATATCGTACACCGCCGTGAATTAACTTTGTGCTTCGGGAAGAAGTCCCAGATGCAAAGTCGTCGGCTTCGACCAATGCAGTCTTCAAACCTTTGAGAAAGTATAGCGTTATCGTTTTTTTATTCTTTCTTTTTTCCGAGCAAATAAAAATCAAGGCAGTAAATTTACCTCGCGTGCAAGCATCCAGAGCGCATCCTGCCCCTGTCGCACCACCTCCGATTATCAATACATCGTACTCTTGCGACTTTAAAGTCTTTACTTGATCCTCTCGTGTTGGTAAAGTCCTTCGAGGCGGCCTTGGTTTTCCCTTTTCAGCGTGTACCTATAACCGTCATTGCCTTGAGAAATAAGTATGTATGCAATTAGTGGCATCTAGGTATGATTTAAAAATGAGCGACATTGCATTGTTTGCAATATATATGACACATATATAATAACAGAGTTAAGGAATACACACGGACATATATTTGCAGTTTTCGAGTAATCTTTGATCGCATTACGATTATCATGCGTTATCATGCATATATACCTACTGTAGTATCTGACAAAAGAAAGTGTGAAGTGAGAGTACCAGCACCTACGACACTTGCCCCTGCTACAAATAATCTAAGTGATGCCATCGTCTGTCAATTCGTCGATTTTAGCCAGAAAAACTGAAATCAAGAAATATATACATACATAGAAATAGATACGTACATATTTTCAGAACACGTAATATAAAATCTACATTGTATATAGATGTATGTGTACACACATATAGTCGAGAGATTATATTTATTACAATACGCAAGAATTTATATATTTATACTTTCATACATATATTAAAGTATAAAAAAGACTATATACACATAGAAATATTTCTTTCTTTAAATTCTTATATATCAACTTCAGCAATATATTATATAATAATAATAATAACGTAATACATATATGATATATATATATGATATGTAATACAAATATCATTTAGCTTTAAAACTATATAAATATATGTATGTATGTATGTATACACACACACACAAACGCACGCACGCACGCACGCACACACACACACACATATTTACATATATATATATACACACACACACACACATACAATATATATTATATATGTGTGTATAGTGAGTTGTCTCTAAAATTTATTTAAAGTAATAAATATTTTCAAAAAGCTGCACAAAGCCTTAACTAAGAGGATACACATTTTGTCTGCGCTCGTGTATACGTACATATATACGTTCATTGTACATACACTGTAAATAATTTAAGAATTGTGCATTGTATCGCAAAATTATCATGACACAAAAAAAAAGTTGAAGCTTTTTCATTATTATAATTATATATACTACTAACATGCACAAATGTCTCATGCATACACGCGCATACATACGAGTATACGACAAATACTGATTTCATCCGACAACCTTGATAAGAGCTTGAAGCACGTGGGATTACGTAAGTGACATTTGGTGTTACTCGCGGATATATATATTACCACGCGGATACGAACGCGGTCATGTAATCGGCTCGTGCAATCTCATGAAATCCACGAAAAGATCGACAGTACGTTACTGTCTGGTCGCACATGCTATTTCGATCTTTAAATCTAATAATTGTTAGAGGTATGAACCGCATTGACTTGCAAAACAGGAGGAAAAAAGCTGTCCGAGTATATAATTCATATTAGAGGATACGTGTTATTGTAGAATTTCTGATAGTGTTTATACATAGAGAAGCTCTTGCGCAAATGCATAAGAATTACAGGTACAATTCGCTGGCATTACTGACCGCATCAGTCCAGAGTTGGCCGAAAAATTTGGTAAATTTCAAGTATGTATATATTATACTTCGAAATGTGCGCATATCACAAGAACATAATGTCGGACTCGATGTCGCAAGATTGTAGCTAAAATAGCTTTCGCAAATCTCGCATATATATCTGTGCCAAATGCTTTGAAATGTCACTCGCATCAACAATAGGCACATATATAGCCCATATATACTACTATATACACTACTTATTACGCGTTATTTAATCTTTGTCGTCTCGACTTGCTCGTTGTAACACGAGATCGGAACATTGAATCCGCTCTACTCAACATTATTAACATGCAAAGTGTATCTTTAATTATGCGTTTACGTGTTTTAATTACATTGTTTAGCGCATTTTTCTCGGTTTATTTTCGGCAATCTTTCAATCAGCAATTGAACAATCGAGTCAAGTCAATTTTCGAAACTCGAGAATCGATACGAGAATCCTTGTTGGTCAAATATCCAATGATAATTGCAAGTATTATATTGCCGTGCCAACGAATGATAAGATTAATTGATAATATCACCGCACGCAACAAAACAATCGAGCAACTGGATCTTTCGAGCCGATTCTTTGGATAAGTAATAGCGATATAATATACATATACTCACAGCGAGATGAGACGCGTTCCTCGTCTATAGCGAATGTTGCGACACTAAAATTTCAGAAAGCACATTCTCTGATAGCAGACCAATTGCGGTATAAACTGTTTTAAACCGATGGCCTATGGCCACCGACAGCCGACAGCGACTGATTGACCGAAGGCAACCAAAGATTGAATTTCGGCCACCGAAAGCATAAAAACTAGAAATAGAAGACTTAAGCGGGGAGCACACACTTTTGCAAAAGCGCATAATCATAAGGATGAGGAAATTGATTGGTCCATTTCCTTATGCATAAAGAAATTGACCAATCAAATTCCTTATGCTTATGATTATGCGCTTATGCAAAAGTGTGTGCTCCCCGCTTTTATCTGCGTGGAAGGGATAGGTAGGTAAAAAACCACCGTTGTGCCCGTATCAGACTACGCATTGAAAATTGAAATTTGACCAATCAGGATAAAAGGAACTAAAATTTCCTTGTCTTGATTGGTCAAATTTCAATCTAAATGCATAGTCTGATATGGGCTTAAAGTCCGTATCAGACTACGCATTAAAAATTGAGATTGAAGATTGAAGATTGAAATTTGACCAATCAGAATAAAGAAATTTTAGTCCCTTTTGTTCTGATTAGTCAAATTTCAATCTTTAATCTTCAATCTTCAATTTTTAATGCGTAGTCTGATACAGGCTTAATGCTATGCAAAGAATCGATGTATGAACCAATAACAGTCTACCTTATTTAGCATCTCTTTTCAATAGCGACTACTCACCAATGAACTGTATACATACTGGAATGAGCGAATCCTTTGTTTGGCTGTCGCCACTTTTTCGCCGAAAAGAGAGGTGCGTTTGGATTTTGGTATCTCTTTCTAGTATTACCTGATTGGTCCATGGCATATCACGTGACATCATCTAAACTGAGAATAATGTCACGTGACATGCCATGGACTAATTAGGTAATACTAAAAAGAAATACCAAAATCCAAACACACCTCTCCCTCGGCGAAAAAATGGCGACAGCCAAACAAAGGAATCGCTAATTCCAGTATGCTTGTATATGTCAGCAAATGGCGCGCATGAGCACTTTCGAGCAGTTACTCACAAGAGAGAGACAACTACAATTTTCTGTCTCACTTTCTCCGAGCACATTTCAACCTGCTATTCCTCTTCTATTTATATATATTCTAAGATTAAAGCCCGTATTAAAGATTGAAATTTGACCAATCAGGATAAACGGAACTAAAATTTCCTTGTCCTGATTGGTCAAATTTCAATCTCAATCCATAGTCTGATACGGGCTTAATGCTAGGCTAGAAATCCTTAAATAAAGATCGGACAATGTGCCGTCGTGGGGTGAAACCGCATATGACATTTTTGATGACGGTTTATTTTAATTGTTAAATAAATACAAGAATACGATATACATATATTTTTCGTTTGAAGTTAACGTGAGTAATGAATATTAAAACACGTATTAAAAAAAATTACAAACAAATATATTTCATCAGTTTTCCTGTGTTAAAATCAAATAATAATATGAATTGACTATTAAAAAATATAATTGTTATAATTACTATTATAGGTTATATTTTTATAGGTTATATTATTATAGGGTATATTATTATTATTGCTATATTATTACTACATTATTATCATTATTATTACGTTATTTTATATTATGTATTATTATAAATATAATTTAGGAAATAAATCACATTAAATTACATAGTCTGAAGTAAAATACATACCTTACTTTGCACAAGTTTTCACAATTTTATATAATCTTACTTTGGAAAATTAAAATACACAAATTAGGTAACACGCAAAACACGACGGCCTAGACTGTTTGTTTCTGTGGTTTTGACGGACAGTTATGGCTAGGTCGATTAGATTAGCTAGCAAACGTGTGAAGTTTGTGGCCTAACATGGCAGTTATAATAATCGACCAATGAGGGTATCAATCATGTAACTTTTCCCTTAAGACGGAAAAGTGAAAAGTTTTGCCATTGATTTCAATGCTAAGGGCCCGGGCACATAAAAAAACTTAAGCAGTAAGACTTAAGACTTAAGAATTTCAACCATACGGAATTTTCATCGTAGCTTACGTTTCAATATGGCTGCCTTACTGTTCGCCCGTGATTGGGCAATTCGCTTACGTTTTAAGTCTTACTGCTTAAGTTTTTTTATGTGCCACGGCCCTAATATTTTTCACTTTTCACGTTTTCGCCCTAGGGGAAAAGTTACATGATCGGTACCCTGGAAGTGGAACAAGTTGGCGCCTCTCTGATAAGCTGCGGTCCGAAATACGCTCAGAGCGCTCACAATACTGAAAATCTATAGTTTACGTCACGTGCACTATAGCTGGCAGCGCGCTAATAGCGCTGTAAGCGTATTTCGGATCGCAGCCATAATATAGGACTCTAGGGCCGGTATTCATAGTCCGTTCTTATATTCAAGATCGTCTTAAGTACGATCTTAAGATACTATGCGGCCATTTCATTGGTTGAATGGGATCTTAAGACGACCCAAGACCACACTTAAGACGATCTTGGATATAAGAACGGACTATGAATACCGGCCTACATCATAATAGATACAACAGTAGAGCGCGTTTACAATGACAGTTTCGTCGCAGATTCCTATGTAATAGCCTTATTCGCACACTGGACGCGATGAGCGATATTCAATAAGAGCTCCGCTTTTCCGAAAAAGCAGAGCTCTCATTGAATATCGCCCATTGTTTATTGCTCATCACGTCCAGTGTGCGAGGGCCATTAAGCCCGTATCAGACTACGTATTGAAGATTGAAATTCGACCAATCAGGATAAAAAAAAAAAAAACTAAAATTACCCTGTCCTGATTGGTCAAAATTCAATCTCAATGCAGTCTGATACGGGCTTTACTGCTTAAGTTTTTTAATGTGCCCGGACCCTTATCAAGCACGTTACAATCGAGCAGTGATGCCAGAAACGGGTCCCGCGGCTCACGGCTCAGCAATGGAAGGGGTAACGCACACCTCGTAACGTCACCGCCGATATGTGCTACGCAGTGATGCCAGAAACGGATCCCGTGGCTTATGGCTTAACAATGAAAGGGGTAACGCACACAAGCGCGAGCCGCGTACATGTGGCACATGTACGCGGCTCGCGCTTGTGTGCGTTACCCCTTCCATTGCTGAGCCGTGAGCCGCGGGACCCGTTTCTGGCATCACTGCAATCGAGTGATATCTGGAAATAATATCCACTGAGAATGGAAGGTTAGAGTCACATAATTGTACAATATATATAAATCACGTGTCGAAACAAAATATAATACTCTTTGTTATTTAACATCAAATATCTGTACAAGTTAGGCACTCTCGTACGTCACAAAACAGTATTCGTACAAAGGTTCATATACATAAAAGTCTCGTATGTTATATCATAGTATGGAGCAAAAACTTAATTCTAGGGACATACATTATCATGTATGGCAAACACCTCTAAAATTATATATATATATAAATTTTAAATAATAAAACGCATGTAAACATAATACAAATGCAAAGAATGTACGATGAATGTGGATGTACAATAAATAGCAAAGATTGTTGCAGAGAGTCAAGACACACGACATTGCTAAAACCTACTATTTACACAAGTTGTTATATCAAAATATACGATCGTTCTTATTATAAGATATTAGTGATTCTAGTGAAAAATACGTTTTTACATTAGAGATGCAATGTCACACCGGAATCTTGTCAAAAAACAAAATCTGGAGATCTTTATACTTCGTCGGAAGCGAGCGTTTCTTTGCCATCTCTTCCTCTTTCATTTGAAGAGCGACCGCCGATTCCAACACTCGTATTCTTCCTTCGTGCTTGACGATTACGGCTTTTAATTTTCTTATCTCTTCTCTGCATTCTCTCAATAATTCTTCCTACGAAGATTAAATAACGAATAATTATCAAGTTATTTAAATTATTTGATCAAGTCACTCTCAGCCGAGAAAAAAGTAAGAAGGAATAAATTTTTGATATACATACACAAGCTCCTGGCGAAACTTGCGCAATATCTTGCGCGGCATTAGACGCGACCTTGGCTCCTTTACTCAATATATTAGATTTCTTTTGTACTTTAAGTTCATTTTTGGAAGCAGACGGCTGATAACCGTCTCTTAGGGATATCAATATAGGCTCTGCATCGGTGCCAGATTGCCATTCTTCCGCTGAGATTGCAGCTGTGTCACCGGGAGTATCGGGGTACAAGTCTTCTTGAAAAAGCTCAGACTGGAATACAATTATATAGAACAAGCGCGCTAGACTATTAGTCTGCTTTTGGAATCGACTTTGGTACTTTCCAATTATTTTTTTTTTTTCACACAGTCTTACCTTCCTTGGCACTGTCATAGATATCACTTGGCAAAAGCCCGAATTATTTAATCGATAGAATCTGGTTATTTCACAGCTATTAACATCACAGCCTCGTTTTGGCATCATTCCTATACCTCGTTGAGGATCAGGAGTTTGAAAAGTATTGATGTAGTGAACAAAGGGCGGTTCGGGTGTAATTTCAAAATATCGAATCACAGAATCACCTTTGCCACATAAATATACTAAATTTGTATCAGGATCATATAGAGGGAACATAACCCCGTTGCTCGTATCTAATTCTACCATAACTATTGGCTCGCCCAACATGTCAGGAGCTCGCAAAGAATATTGTCTTTCTGACATTTTACTAAAACCTGTCGTGAAGATCAAGCCACCCCTGAAAATATAATGCAAATAATTTGATCAAAATGCACTAAGGTTTTGTTAATATATACTATATAACATAGTAGGTCTTCATTATTTGGCATGTTAATCTCTTGGAGTGATTGCAATAAACATGATCTGTATATGTATGTATGTGTGTGTATTTGCATTAGTCATTAATATCCTATTATCACATTCCCTTATACATGGAGATTAATCATCAAAATTTTACAACATCCACCTTATTACTACACATAAAGAAAAACATCTTCCAACATGTTGCAATATATATATAGGAAATATAATTACAATGCAAATAATTACATGCAGCGCTATTGCTCAAGTAAACTTTCACTTGCATATAATATTTTGTCCCTTCCTTTCACAGATATAAATGTGATAATTATGATATTTTATAAAGATATCTATACCAAAAAAAAATTAATATGTTTCTTGATATAACTTACATATTTACTTACGCATTCTAACATTTACAAGTTGCAATTCTTGAATTAACAAGTTGATGTACAATACTTACTGTAACATCTATGGAGAATTACAGAGCGCACGTCTTGACACTCGTATTTATTAAGTTGGCATCTTCGTCATGTCGAAAATTCAGTCTGGGAGTTTTCCATTAAAAATTACAGAATCTCGCACTACACAAACCGGAAATACAAGATGATGAAGAAACAAATGTATCCTTTACGTGCGTATCTAACTATATTTCTGTTACAAAATATACTAGCGGAAAGAGATGCGAAAAATAAATACCATTATGTATGTTGACGTGAAAACATAACCATGGGGAAAAAAAAGAAAAAGAAAAAAAAAGGGAAAAAAGGGAAAAAAGAAAAAAAGAGGTAGAAATAAGAAAAAAAAATTCTAATATTGCGGATATATTCAAAAAATCATCTGTAGACAATTTCTGCAGTGATATAATTTGTTTACATTGTATGATTACAAATGCATTTGTGTAAAAAGGTGGATGTATACCATTTGATGATTATGTTTTATAGATATTTTTCTACGAATAATCTATATGTACTGCCATATATATAATAAAAGTATAAAAGTTGTGCAACAATATTATTTACATTTTTTTGGCTCGGTATTTATGTATTTTCTACATCCACACTCATGCAAAATTCACTCGTTAGTGCATCCTTTCTTTTAAATGTTATTTCGAAATACAATGCAGCAAGATGAATTACGTCATGTAAGTATATTAATGAGATTATGGAAAAATGGTTTGTCTTTTCTTGGGGTTAATTATGCATTTAAATGAAGCATTTCTCTCTTTATAAAATATGGTCAATTGAGCATTTCATATTTATATCTAAAGATGGAGTAATAATATTTATAATCAGATAACATATTTTATTCGTGAAATGAGACTGATGCATACTAAAACTTGCCTGTACATATCTAATTTTGAAATTAAATAATTAAGGAAAATTAAAATCAAGTACTAATGTATTTTCTAAAGTCTCATATTTTCCAAAACTTATGATTATAATATTCAGTTAATTAGCATATATGTACTTTTCAAAGTATGTCTATTTCCTATCTTTTTGTTGCATTGCCTTCTTCTCTGTCTCTCTTTATTTTTAGTCACATCAATCTCATTGTATAATATATAAATACATATAAATGATATATTTAATTAAAAAAGGGAAAAAAACAACTCGAATAGATGCTAAAAAATATATTTAGCACAGAGTGCTAAATTTCAAACAAACAGGCCGAATATCTCGATAACTAAATGGAATATCGAGGTCCGGTTCTTTTTTACGCGTCCATCCAAAGTCAAAATCTTTTTATCAAAATTTGTTCGCCTCGAAACAATACAGCCTAAAGAAAACCGGACCTCCATATTTCATTTAGTTATCGAGATATTCCGAATTCTATTCTACTGTTTCCGTCCATTTTATGAGCTATCGTTAACAAATGATTAATGGCTCATTAAAAATGTGTCGCACTTTAACGTAAGATAACACTTTAACTATGATAACAAATAGTCGGAACAATAACTGCGGCGGTTGTTATCGGTAAACTGTCGGTTTGCATCGCATTTGTGTATGTGTGTGTGAGTATGTCGAAATCTCTTAACACATATCTTTTGATTTTCAAAACATTACATTTTATACAAATGTATAAAATGAGACTCGTCCGATTTCATGATACGGCATATACATGGTCAAGTGAATATGCGTATCTTGTATTATTTTGAATCGTTCTGAATCACGATCTCACGGTCTGGCACGGGCGCGGCCACGGCCGCGCTCGCGCGCCCCGTCTATTTCGGTGAATCGAAATCATTTTTCGATGCACCATGTAAGGAGCGCAGGAAACGATCTCTTCATTCACTCGCGATAATCGGGAAAGCATGTTACTGTAATGTTGGTGACAGTTGTGATAAAGTGTGTATATCTATATGTGTATATGCATCACATATACACACACACACATACACATTTGTAAATATAATGATCGAAAAGTTGCCGAAAATATACATACATTTCTTACATATCGGACGTATCCGTTTGATGATGAAAAGGCAGAGAGTGGGGAATCTATTTATATAATAGGGATATGTTTCATGCCGCAACGTCCGCAGCCCCATAGCGGACACGCGACACTAATTTATTAAAATAATCATAATAAACGCGTGCGCTCGCACGCACGTGTGTATAAGCGAATACGTACGAGCGACATATCGAGCATCGTGGCACCGTGTACTGTTCGCATATAGAGGTTATTTAATATTGATAGTTTTCTCTATCGCGTCTCTCTCGACAAATATCAATTTTATAATTGAAAATAGGTGTGCAGACATGTCTTTCCGCGTGGTGCGTACCAGCAAGTTCCGCCACGTGTACGGAACTTCTTTGAAACGTGAACAATGTTACGACAATATTAGAGTGTCCAAATCATCGTGGGACTCGACGTTTTGCGCCGTGAATCCCAAATTTCTCGCTATTATCGTAGAATCGGCGGGTGGCGGTGCCTTTATCGTCTTACCACACAATAAGGTAGGCTTTCGGTTTTTTGTAAATCTTTATATTCTTGCTTTTTACATTTCAATTCCTCTGATCGATTACATTTAATTGATTTAATGTTTTATGTACGTCACTATGCATTGGAAAGTATATTTTTGTCAGTGCTTATTATATATATCTAATACATAACTCGTTTCTCGTCAGATTGATAAAAGAATCTTTTACATAGTATATATAATGTATACTATATTTTTCAAATAACGGTTTACAATATATTGTTGTAAAACATTATAGATAGGAAGGATACCAGCAGACTATCCTTTAGTAGGTGGACACAAAGGACCTGTGTTAGATATTGCATGGTGTCCTCATAACGATAATGTCATAGCTTCTGGTTCTGAAGATTGTGTTGTCAAAATATGGCAAATACCTGATGGAGGTATTTCTAGGACATTAACCGAATCGATAGTAGATCTGCAACTACACCAACGTAGAGTTGGTTTAGTGCTATGGCATCCATCCGCATTAAATGTCTTGCTGACAGCTGGTTCGGACAATCTTGTTATTATCTGGAATGTTGGTACAGGAGAAGCCTTAGTACGCATTGACTCTCATCCAGATGTGGTTTATTCCGCATGTTGGAACTGGGATGGATCTCGATTAGTTACTACTTGTAAAGATAAAAAAATTAGGATCTTGGACCCGAGGTCAGGTGAAATATTAGAAGAAGCCATAGCTCACGAAGGAAGCAAAGCAACTCGTGCCATCTTTCTAAGGTATGTGCTCCATATAGAGTGCTACATTTCAAATGTAACAGGCCGAATATCTCGATAACTAAATGGAATATCGAGGTCCGGTTCTTTTTTACGCGTCCATCCAAAGTCAAAATCTTTTTATCAAAATTTGTTCGCCTCGAAACAATACAGCCTAAAGAAAACCGGACCTCCATATTTCATTTAGTTATCGAGATATTCGGCCTGTTACATTTGAAATGTAGCACTCTATATGGAGCACATACCTTAGAAAGATGGCACGAGTTGCTTTGCTTCCTTCGTGAGCTATGGCTTCTTCTAATATTTCACCTGACCTCGGGTCCAAGATCCTAATTTTTTTATCTTTACAAGTAGTAACTAATCGAGATCCATCCCAGTTCCAACATGCGGAATAAACCACATCTGGATGAGAGTCAATGCGTACTAAGGCTTCTCCTGTACCAACATTCCAGATAATAACAAGATTGTCCGAACCAGCTGTCAGCAAGACATTTAATGCGGATGGATGCCATAGCACTAAACCAACTCTACGTTGGTGTAGTTGCAGATCTACTATCGATTCGGTTAATGTCCTAGAAATACCTCCATCAGGTATTTGCCATATTTTGACAACACAATCTTCAGAACCAGAAGCTATGACATTATCGTTATGAGGACACCATGCAATATCTAACACAGGTCCTTTGTGTCCACCTACTAAAGGATAGTCTGCTGGTATCCTTCCTATCTATAATGTTTTACAACAATATATTGTAAACCGTTATTTGAAAAATATAGTATACATTATATATACTATGTAAAAGATTCTTTTATCAATCTGACGAGAAACGAGTTATGTATTAGATATATATAATAAGCACTGACAAAAATATACTTTCCAATGCATAGTGACGTACATAAAACATTAAATCAATTAAATGTAATCGATCAGAGGAATTGAAATGTAAAAAGCAAGAATATAAAGATTTACAAAAAACCGAAAGCCTACCTTATTGTGTGGTAAGACGATAAAGGCACCGCCACCCGCCGATTCTACGATAATAGCGAGAAATTTGGGATTCACGGCGCAAAACGTCGAGTCCCACGATGATTTGGACACTCTAATATTGTCGTAACATTGTTCACGTTTCAAAGAAGTTCCGTACACGTGGCGGAACTTGCTGGTACGCACCACGCGGAAAGACATGTCTGCACACCTATTTTCAATTATAAAATTGATATTTGTCGAGAGAGACGCGATAGAGAAAACTATCAATATTAAATAACCTCTATATGCGAACAGTACACGGTGCCACGATGCTCGATATGTCGCTCGTACGTATTCGCTTATACACACGTGCGTGCGAGCGCACGCGTTTATTATGATTATTTTAATAAATTAGTGTCGCGTGTCCGCTATGGGGCTGCGGACGTTGCGGCATGAAACATATCCCTATTATATAAATAGATTCCCCACTCTCTGCCTTTTCATCATCAAACGGATACGTCCGATATGTAAGAAATGTATGTATATTTTCGGCAACTTTTCGATCATTATATTTACAAATGTGTATGTGTGTGTGTGTATATGTGATGCATATACACATATAGATATACACACTTTATCACAACTGTCACCAACATTACAGTAACATGCTTTCCCGATTATCGCGAGTGAATGAAGAGATCGTTTCCTGCGCTCCTTACATGGTGCATCGAAAAATGATTTCGATTCACCGAAATAGACGGGGCGCGCGAGCGCGGCCGTGGCCGCGCCCGTGCCAGACCGTGAGATCGTGATTCAGAACGATTCAAAATAATACAAGATACGCATATTCACTTGACCATGTATATGCCGTATCATGAAATCGGACGAGTCTCATTTTATACATTTGTATAAAATGTAATGTTTTGAAAATCAAAAGATATGTGTTAAGAGATTTCGACATACTCACACACACATACACAAATGCGATGCAAACCGACAGTTTACCGATAACAACCGCCGCAGTTATTGTTCCGACTATTTGTTATCATAGTTAAAGTGTTATCTTACGTTAAAGTGCGACACATTTTTAATGAGCCATTAATCATTTGTTAACGATAGCTCATAAAATGGACGGAAACAGTAGAATAGAATTCGTATTCCCGCCACTGCCCGTTACATCGTAGATAGAATGTAACTCGATCGACGACCACGTAGCAGCGCTAGAAACACGAAGAAGCTCGATATCTTTAATACCTTATTTGGAAATGTGCACCCTCTTAATTCAAATAGCCCCCATTCGATCACTCTCCAAGCGATATCGCCAAGTCTACCTAAGTCTACCGTTCTCTATCTTCCACTGTCACTTTTTTCTCTTTCTTTTTTTTTGTAGATTCGCTAACCGCTGGCATGATCATCTTTTTATGAATGCATTTTGCTTCACTCACCGATAACGTTTTCTTATTAATGTATGGATTTATCACGAAATAAATAACAGTCGACAATTTTATCGGATATATAACTTGTAAAGCATTACGTTTCTTGTATTTCTTTACAAGTTACACGCTTATAAAACGGAACTTACGTACTAAATCTTTCACGTTGTGACAAAAGATGCACGTTTTTGGAAAAGGAGTCTTGTCCCCGCCACTAACCTCTTCGAGCACTGACAATGACGGGCGTGCACGTTCGCAAATGTGAGCGCCTTTCCAATTTTGTAAAGCCCTATCCGACAAACTTAATCGTATAATGTATATGTATGTACACATATACGTATGTTTAGAAAATCAACCAATCATTAACCATCTGATATAAAGAACGCAGCAATATGGCATTCTTTATATTAGACACGTGATTGGTCGATCTCTCTATGCAGATACATTATGCGATTATGCAAATTCATCTGGATAGGGCTTTAAGCCCGTATCAGACTACGCATTGAAGATTGAGATTCAAGATTCAAGATTGAAATTTGATCAATCAGAATAAAGAAATTTTAGTGTCTTTTGTTCTGATTAGTCAAATTCCAATCTTTAATCTTCAATCTTCAATTTTCAATGCGTAGTCTGATACGGGCTTTACGAATGATTCCTATTACGTCCTATATCCGCTGTATGTTTGTATGATGTGTGTATATGCATAGATGTACATACCTAGAGATGTCCTTCGAATACTTTTCCTTTGTTCTTGCGGAGTATTTACAGAGACGGAAAGAGAGAGAAAAAGATAAATCAGAAAGAGAAAATATAAGGCCGAATCTACAATAGGTCATGATGCAAGTAGACATGGTGTGCTCGTCATTAGGATGAGTTTACGCATAGCAACGCGCAGACCTAAAGCCCGTATCAGACTACGCATTGAAAATTGAAGATTGAAGATTAAAGATTGGAATTTGACAAATCAGAACAAAAGGGACTAAAATTTATTTGTTCTGATTGGTCAAATTTCAATCGCGAATCTTGAATCTCAATCTTCAATGCGTAGTCTGATACGGACTTTATGGCTTTGGCACACTGTGCTGTGTTCCGATTCCCCACCCGGGTGCACCCGGATGAGGAATCGGAACACAGTCCTGGATGCGATGAGTGATGAGCGATGGGCGATATCCAATGAGAGCTCTACTTTTGCGAAAAAGTTGAGTGATGAGCGCCTATCGCTCATCACTCATTGCGTCCAGTGTGCGGGAGCCATTAAGTGTGGTCTTATAGCGTTTTCGAATGTAGCAGATTTAATCCACTGATCTATATATCTAAATTGCCGATCGCCTTTGTTCTTAGGGCCAATTTCCCCCTTAGGCCGATATTACATTTGTCGTACGACAAACTTTTTAAGCGCATTGATTAGCTAATTTTTAGAAATTCAAGAAAGTTTCTATTTTGCAGCCAATCAATATGCTTAAAAAGTTTGTCGTATGACAAATGTAATATCGGCCTTAAGGTGCCTTTACATGGCAGCGTCAAGCGTCGAGCGTCGAGCGTTAAGCGTCTGCGCAGAATATTGTTGCACAGAATTACATTTATATCATTTATTTTATTATGTAATAGCAGAGAGAAGAATGAGAGTCGCCACGCTGCCGTTTTTCGTGTAACGCTTTTTCTAGGTCGTACACTTTAAATTATAGTTAAAATTGTACCTGCAATTAAATATTATATGATGATTAATAATAATAGTAAGATAATAGATAATAGAGTGAACAAATACAAAATATGTAAGACACGGGGGCCTATTAGACTTGATGATTTCTTGCTTTCTTACTATCGATACTTCAATACATAATGTAAATAAATATCAATTTTTAGTATTAGTAATGTGTATCAGAACATAATTTTTTTTATCTCGACCGAATTCATATCACTCATCATATGCTATTAGCCGAAGGAAACTGGAATCTACCTCATTCAGATTCCTGCACAATTTCTGTGCAGACGCAGACGCTCGACGCTCGATGCTCGATGCTCGATGCTGCCATGTAATGGCACCTTAAAGGTAACATTTCATGAGCAGTGAAAAGCAGCAGCAATTTAGAAAGTAACTAGAATCAGTGACGTGCTTCCGGCGCAAGTTTTTGCTGTTCACCAAACAATGCTAGTTAGTTACTAAACTGCTGCTGCTTTTCACTGCCCATGAAATGTTACCTTTAGGGGTCGTTCTCACTAAGCGCGTCAAACATCGCGTCACGACGCGACGCGACGGCAGTTCAAGCCATGGCGTTTTTTGTTATTCAAACTGAACGCGTCGCGGCAAATCAACGCATGCGCAGAATGTACTAGTTCGCCAGGTTATTGGTTGCAATAAACGTGAACATAACCTTTAAATTAAAATATAGTACAAATCTGATTATCTGTTTTCTGTAAAACAGTATATGACCTAAAACAGTGTATTAAATATCGGAGACCTACGATTGAAACAGAGTGAGTATAGAATGTATGTATGAAATTATGTTATTATGGCAAACGCGAGAATGTCGAGCAACCAAACGAACCAAACCGACGCGTCGCGCAAGAAGGTCGCGTCGGAGATGATGCAATAAAACAGACGTTCTGATTGGTTACCTTGTAACGCGACGCATGACGCGACGCGAGACGCTCTCAGTGGGAACGACCCCTTAGGCCGATATTACATTTGTCGTACGACAAACTTTTTAAGCATATTGATTGGCTGCAAAATAGAAACTTTCTTGAGTCTCTAGAAATTAGATAATCAATGCGCTTAAAAAGTTTGTCGTAAGACAAATGTAACATCGGCCTTACTCGGCAATTTGCCTCGAAGCGTGGGAAATTCAAATGAGTTTGACTAAAACCACGGTCTATGTAAGACTGTAACTGAAACTTACGTTTACGTAACATTTTTGCTGTTATTAATTAAGAAAATCAAAATTAAACGATGAAACAGATCATAAAATAAACCAAAATATTACAAGATTTTATGTTTAATAAGAAAATAATTCTTTATTCACACACACACACACATTCACACACACACACACACACACACACACACACACACACACACACACACACACACACACACACACACACACACACACACACACACACACACACACACACACACACACACACACACACACACACACACACACACACACACACACACACACACACACACACACACACACACACACACACACACACACACACACACACACACACACACACACACACACACACACACACACACACACACACACACACACACACACACACACACACACACACACACACACACACACACACACACACACACACACACACACACACACACACACACACACACACACACACACACACACACACACACACACACACACACACACACACACACACACACACACACACACACACACACACACACACACACACACACACACACACACACACACACACACACACACACACACACACACACACACACACACACACACACACACACACACACACACACACACACACACACACACACACACACACACACACACACACACACACACACACACACACACACACACACACACACACACACACACACACACACACACACACACACACACACACACACACACACACACACACACACACACACACACACACACACACACACACACACACACACACACACACACACACACACACACACACACACACACACACACACACACACACACACACACACACACACACACACACACACACACACACACACACACACACACACACACACACACACACACACACACACACACACACACACACACACACACACACACACACACACACACACACACACACACACACACACACACACACACACACACACACACACACACACACACACACACACACACACACACACACACACACACACACACACACACACACACACACACA